AAGTGGGATAGAGGTAAATATTGATGCATGCTCAACCTTGGAACAACAGGGCTCTGTGATACAGGGAATCAAGGCATAGTGTGAAGAGGGGAAATAATACTAAAATGGTTGGCTGTCTTATGAATATTGATTTCCCTTGCCTACTATTTTAAAATAGACATTTGAGTGGGATAGAAAAGAAAATTGGGAAACATGATTACAGAAAACTTTTAAGCACGTCTTCAGCCGATAACTGATTGGAATACGTATTATCAGAAGGGACCAGTTCCTGGAGAAGAACATCATGCTTGTTAAAGTGGAAGGCCAGCAAAAATGAAGAAGACCCCCCAATGAGATGGACTGGCACAGTGGCAGCAGCAATGGACTCAAGCATGACGATTGTTTGGTTGGTGCAGGCCAGGGCAATGTTTTGTTCTGTTGTGCATAAGGTCGCTATGAATCAGGATTGACTTGACAGCACCTAACACCAACTGCCAATCTGTCTGTTGTACTCCAGTGGCTAGTGTTTTGCTGTGCTGCTAAAAGTTCTGCCATTGGTAGGTCAAATCCCAGCAGAGTCACGGCAGAACAGATTTTAGCAGAGCTATCAGACTAGGACTAGGAAGAAAGATCTGAATATCTACTTCTGAAAACTAGTCAATTTTAGGGAAACTTTACTGATTACAATATATAATTTCCAATACAGTGCTAGAGAAGATTGAGAAATTGAAAGAGCGAAAAAACAAAACCACCTCACTGCTGTGGACCCTGTATAGGGTTTCCAAGGTTGTAAATCTTTATAGGAGCAGACAGCATCCTCTTTCTCCTCAGGAGCAGCTGGTGGGTTTGAACTGCTGACCCTGTGGTTAGCAGCACAGTGTCACCAGGGCTCCTGAGAAGGCATTCAAACTACAAAGGAGCCACAAGAATAAACTCAGGCGTGCCGACACTCATGATGGTACAGTACTAAGCAACATGTCGTCCAGGACAATAATAAAACCAAAACTCCATCTGCTTTTAATTATCATCAGTGGTAAAACACTGCTGCTGCTGCTGCTGCTTTTGTTGTTATTGTTGTTGTTAAATGTCAAGTCAGTTCTGACTCACAGCGACCCCGTATGGGGTTGCCGAGGAGCAGCTAGTGAGTGTGAACCACCGACCTTGAGGTCGAGTGCTTATCCTATGGCGCCACACCAGGATTCCATGGTAAAATACTTTACTCCTCACAAAAACAATTTGTTGGTTTAAGTTCTAACTGATGGCTACAGCGACTGTTGAGATTTAACAGTATATATGACCACATTTTTATTTTTAATTCTACTTTGACTTCTATGTGGGAGTTAAGTCTGAGAACACCCATCTAGTCACACAGTGAGCCTCTAAGTCACACAGTCAATTACACATGCCTGTTTCAAAAGTAAGGTCTGAATTGTTTGAGCTAATGTTGGGTAGTGTTTGGGCCTCCAATCCCTGGGGTCCCATTACATTTTCTGTGTTTAAACAGAAGACAAAGGTGACTAATCTTAAGAGTGCCAGAAAGAAAGAAAAGCAATAAAAAGAGCAATTGAAAGAGAAAAGGATCATTTTCACCAAGAACTAGACATTTATTCTAAAGCAATGGACTAAATAAATATAAATATCAATACCCACTATGATTCAGCCATTTTAAAACTTTGATTTTTGCAGGAGGCAAATTTTGAGAATTTTACCAAATAAAGTAGAAATTCATGATTTTCTGGTGAAGGTTATTTTAGGGGAATTTTTTTCAAATGTAGAGATATTTAAAAGCACTACCCACCCACTTAGGAGCTCTGGTAGCGTACTGGTTACGAGTCGGATTGCTAGCTTCAAGGTCAGCTAGTTCGAGACCACCAGCAGTTCCGCAGGAGAAAAATGAGGCTTTCTGCTACCGTAAAGATTTACAGCCTCGGAAACCCTATACAGGGTCACTGAGTCCAAATCAACGCCACAGCACACCACCACCCACTGGAGTTCCGGTCAATTTGAACAACAAGGCCGGTGGTTCAAACTCACCACATGCTCCTCAGAATCCCTATACCAAGTCGTTATGAGTCGAAACTGACTAGACAGCACTTAACAACAACAATCCACCCACTAAGGAGCCCTAGTGGTGTAATTAGTTAAGCATTGGGCTGTTAACTGAAAGGTTGATGGTTCAAACCCACTAGTCATTCTCAGGAGAACGATGAGTCTGTCTGCTTCAATAAAAATGTACAGCCCGGAAACCTTAGGGAGCAGTAACACAGGTCACCAGGAATCAGATTCGACTCAACAACACGGGGTAGTTTTGATTTTTCACCCACTCACTGCCCCTGAGTTGTTTCCGACTTATAGTGTGACCCTTTAGGAAAAGAGTAAATCTGCCCGTAGGGTTTCCAATGCTGTAAATCTTGGTGGAAGCAGACCACCACATCTTTCTCCCATAGTCGGTGCCATGGATTAAATTGTGTCTCCCCAAACTATGGATGACTGGACCATGATTCTCAGTGGTTTGACAGTTTGTTATGTGATTAATGATCCCCCGTGCTGTGATGTGATGTGATGTGATGTGATGTGATGTGACATAGCCATAAGAGGATAAAGGGTGGGCTGCAATACACATCCTTAATCCCATAACAACCCAGACAAATACAATCTCATTACAAAGGTGGTTCCCTACGGTCTGGCCTGCAACACCTCTTATTATGAAATAAGACTTTCATGTGTCTCTGCCAACCTTATCCTAATATTTAAGACTTTCCCAACTATTCATATTTGTTATTTCGTGTGAAAAAAAAAGTTTTCAGAATGAAAACTAGCAAAAAGCATCCTTCAATATATTTTGATAGATTGATAAATCTAGCTCTATTGAATACTGAACACAAATAAACAAAAAAAGATCAATTTTGACAAAGACTTTGACAATTTTTCAGGTTTGGAAACAGAAACTATGTTAGTCTTCATTATGCAACCAATCCATACAAAGGAATAAAATTGTTTCCCTTTTTCCAAAAATGCACACATACAATTAAAAACTATTCATCCATTACTGTTTTCTGTTTCTGTATAGTAAAATCTAATTTTTCAATTTTTCTTGTTTTTCTTGATTACATATATGAAGTTCAGTAAAAGAAACATCTCATTGCATTTCCTTACTGGATATGATTCTTCTTCATTTTATGATTGTTACCAAAAATAAAGTTGTCAGTCAGCAAAGAGGAATATTTTTAAATGACCACTCCTCCCAGTGTTAAATATACCAAGTATGCACTGACGCAAAGCACTGTGATAAGCTCTGTACAGAGATTGAAATGAGACCGCATACAATGGCCCAGCACATACTATGAGTACCAGGCGCTGCTCTGAGGACTTACTCAGTTTTAAGTCCTAGAATCCACATCCAGATGTACTTGAAATTGGCCGAGTACTTGTCAAGTGGGAATATGATCCCAGATGGATCTTAACTCAAAAGTCCCTACTCTGAACCTCTCTGTGGTTAGTTCTAATGCGCAGAAGAGAAACATTTGCTGCGCCCGAGTTATGATTTCGGAACCACATCACAGCTTGTTGGCTGTCCGGGTCACGAGGCGAGTCAGCTGAGAACAGAAGCAGACCCAGCGGAGGTCCAGCCCTAGACACCCATCCCCGGAGCGTGCCCGTGTCCTGCTGGATTCCGGAAGGCAGCACCTGACCCAGGTGGAGAGGCATCGCCCCTGCCCGGCTTCCAGCTCCAGTGGGTACCGTATTCTGCTGCCACGGGTCAGGCTGGGGAGGGCCCCAAACTGGCGCGAGCAAGCGCACTGAGCAAACAACGCCCACAGGTGGGCCTGACCCCACCTGACACCTGATGCTCGGCAGCTGAAGGCGGTGTGGTCCCACGTACTCGAGAGTCCTCTCTAAAAGGACGAACTCGGGCTCCAGGCCAACGAGCCACCCTGAAAACACGTACCCGCATCGTCGCTACAGTTACAATGGACGCGCGCAGGCGCACTGAGCAAACAACTCCCACAGGTGGACCTGACCACACCTGACACCTGATGCTCGGCAGCTGAAGGCGGTGTGGTCCCACGTACTCGAGAGTCCTCTCTAAAAGGACGAACTCGGGCTCCAGGCCACCCTGAAAACACGTCCCCGCCTCGCCGGCAAACTTACAATGGGCGCGCGCATCTTCCTTCGCGAGGGGACCCTCGGGGGCAGGCAGGAGTCGCTTGATCAGCTGCGGACGTGCCTGAGGCCAAGAGAGCAGGGATTCAGGATGTCACTAGCAGAAAGCATCGTCACCAACACCCCGGGGGCGGCGACTGCGGGCTGGGAAGCCACCTCCCTGCCCTGCACTGGACCGCGAAAAGCCCCAGGAACTCCTGAAGGGGGCGGGAGCTCGCGCTACACTTGCCCGGAGCGGCTGTCAGTCTCAAGCTGCGAGACGCCGGCGGAGTGACGCCGCCACACCCTCTCCCTCCTCCCGCTCCGTGCGCCCGGCTGTTCCTCCCCCTCCCCAACCTCTCCAACGCACGCCCGGTCCTAGAGCCGGACAGGCGCCTTTCGCTTCACCTTCCCCAAGGAACTGCTTGCCCACCTCGCCGACTAGGAAGGCTACGTGGCGCCACTGCAAAGGAAACGCTTTTAATGACCGCAGACCCAGCCTTGGCCGCCGTGAGGTCACGGGGCCCCTCCCCGCAGAACTAACTCCCTGACAGGACAACTACTGACCTGCCAGCTCCGGCCTCTGAGGACAGACAGGCTGGCGGAGCTTCGCCGGCTGTCGCTGGAGCCTCTCCACACGCCCCCGCTTTGCTCCGCGGCGCCCCCTAGACTCCACTAATGGGACGCATCTCCCCACCTTTCTGATACTTAGGGCTCTCTGTTCGCACCACAGAGTTAAACACAAATTCTGTTATCCCATGAAGCTTCAAAAAGTTCGTGGGAAAAGCCCATTAACTTTTAATTCCATGTTTTCACGAATTTTTTGAAGCCTTCTCCGTACTTGATCTCTGTACACGTTTCGCATTGGAGTGTTAATGGTCGATGTACTCTCTTCCATTTGAAAGTAGGGTCTTTGAGGACAGAGATGGATCTTGAGCCACCAGATAGCCCCAGAACTTTGCACGAACTCTGGCACACTGTAGGTATTCCATGAATGCATGATCAATGGAGTGAGTAAACAAATCACCAAACCCAGGCCTCCCGCGCCACTGAGCTAAACCTCCCCAAGAGTAGAATCAGCTTTTAGCTCTATTTTCCTCCCACTCCCAAGCCAGCATTATTCCTGAGAGTCAGGCTGCTTGGGTCAAATCCTGACTCAGTCCTGCCTCATACTAGCTGTATGACTCAAGGCCCATTTCCCTCTCTCATCCTCAGTTTGTTCATCTGTAAAATGGGATGATGATACTATTCATAAGAATACATCCCCCAAAGAGCAATGAATGAATAAAGATAATGCTCATAAAGTGCTAAGCCTCAGGAGACTTCTTGTTGTTGTTGTTGTTAAGTGAGTGGATTCCTGATCATAAGGTTTGTAAGGAGCAGCTGGTGGGTTTGAACTGATGAGTTTGCAGTTAACAGTCCAGTGCTTATCCTACAGTGCCACACCAGAACTCAGTATTGTAATCTATTTGGTGTCAACACTGGTTAAAATGTTAGCCGGTGGAGGCATATTCTCTGCCTCATCAGAATCAGTCCAGGGCTGTTAGCCTTGTGGACATAGGAGGTCAAGTGGCTTCATCAGCCATTTTTACATGTCCGCTGTTATTAGTAACATGACAAATGGCACGTGCTCATAAACATCACAGGAGAGTCAGAGATAATATAAATAAAGACTTCAGAGCTTGTGTGTATTGTTACATGCCTGCCCCCAAAATTGTTGAGTAGATTAAGCAAGTGAATTCCTGGGAGGCAATCCAAGCTCAGATGAAGCAAAGGAAACCAAATCTCCTTAACCTCTGCTTTCAGAATACCCTGCTATTAGCACCTCCTTGTTCTTTTTCCAGTTCCTGGGCAGGAGGTTGGGGGAGGGGGGGAGAGGGAGGAGAAGGCCAAGGGTAAATTGAAAAATATTGCTAGAAAATCATAGAAGCCTTTATGTATTTATTTTTGCTTTTATGTCAGTTTAATACAATTATTGGACAACTAGTTAGCTGGTGTGGCGCTGTAGGATAAGCACTGGACCACAAGGTCGGTTTGAACAACGTGGACAGTTCAAACTCATCAGCCACTCTGTCAGAACTGACTCAACAGCACTTAACAACAACAAATACAATTATATGTTTTTGTTATGGTGGAAAGTGCCCTCGAGCCGGCTCCAACTCAAAATG